GCCTTACTTAAAGTTAAGAATGATATTTTGATGTCTATGGATGAGCAACATGTCACCTTGCTTGTATTATTAGATTTAAGTGCAGCTTTTGACACAATACATCATGATAAGCTGACTGGTCGTCTTGAGTCCGATTTGGGAATAACTGACAAGGCGTTTGCCTGGTTTAAATCGTATCTATCTGACCGGTTCCAGCGTGTCTCTCTAAATGGTAGTCTCTCAGATCAGTTTCCTTTAAAACAAGGTGCTCCTCAAGGATCATGTTTCAGATCGTTGAACGCCACCTCCCACAAGTTCACTGCTACGCAGACGATACACAGTTGTATGTACCATTCAGCCCCAATCGATCTGCGAATGCTGATTTTGCCATCAAGTCCATGACTGACTGTATCAGTGACATTAGGAGTTGGATGATTTCAGATAATCTTATGTTAAACGATGATAAAACAGAATTTTTAATTATAGGTACTAGGCAGCAGCTGGCCAAGGTTAACATCAATATTGCATTAGGGTTGGGTCGACTGATGTTTGTCCTGTAACAGTAGCTAGAAACCTAGGCTCATGGTTTGATGAGCAGCTCAATATGTCAACTCATATTAGCAAGTTATGTGGTGTTGCCTTTTACCATTTGCATAATATCAAACGCATTCGCAAGTATTTGTCTCGAGAATCAACGGAAATGCTTGTCCATGCATTTATTACATCTCGTGTTGATTATTGTAACAGAATTTTGTATGGGCTGCACAACTACCAGCTTAACAAATTGCAGAGAGTTTTGAATGCCTCAGCCAGGCTAGTCTGTAATGCCCCCAGGTTTTTCCACATCTCAGCCCTTCTTCGTGGTCTGCATTGGCTTCCTGTTAAAGCCCGGATAGGATTTAAGATACTGCTTATTACGTTCAAAGCAATTCACGGCCTAGCTCCTAAATATCTATGCGATTTACTAACATTTAAATCGTCCTTATATAACCTTAGATCTTCAGAGAGTATTTTACTTTCTATGCCAGCTGTTCGATCGAAGACGTTAGGTGATAGAGCTTTTATGGTAGCAGCGCCAAGGCTCTGGAACTCCCTTCCAAAAAAACTTCGTGCGATTACTAATGTGAACAGTTTTAAGGCGCATATTAAGACTTATCTTTTTCAAACTTTATATTAGTGAGCAATTTTACATTCAGTTCTCACTTGCATGCATATATATTCTTTTTATTTTTTATTTTTTAATGCATTATCTTTTATTTGTTTCTTTTAAAGTAATGCAGTTGTAACGCGCAGCTGATCATTCTCATGTTAAGTTGCGTAAGTTTATAAATTGTTATTATTATTATTATTATGTGCCAAGTACAATTAATAAGCGTTCCTGACCATACCTTTCAATTTCAATATGTCCACAGGCTAGGAATAAAACAGTATTGCGATGTGCCGAGTATGCTTAATAAGCGTTTCTGACGATACCTACCAATGTCAAGATGCCTGCAGGCTAGGGATAAGAAAATATTAAGATGTGCCAGGAACGATTAATAAGCGTTCCTGATCATTCATTTCAATTTCAATGTGTCCAGAGTCCTCCTAATTTCAACATGCCTCCAGGCTAGGGATAAGATAAATATTGACATGTGTCAAGTACGATTAATAAACGTTCCTGACCATACCTTCCAATTTCAACATGTCCACAGGCTAGCAATAAAACTGTATTGCGATGTGCCAAGTATGATTAATAAGCGTTTCTGACCATACCTACCAATTTTAACTGGCTAGGGATAAGAAAATATTGACATGTGCCAAGTACGATTAATAAGCGTTCCTGACTATACGTTCCACTTTCAACAAGTCCAATTAAAGGGTAGGAATAAAACTGTATTGCGATGTGCCAAGTATGACTAAAACGCGTTTCTGACCATACCTACTAATTTCAGCATGGCCGACAAGTCAGGGATAAAAAAATATTGACATTTGCCAAGTTCGATTAATAAGCGTTCCTGACCATACCTACTAGTTTTAATATCTCTACAGGCTAGGGATAAGAAAGTATTAAGATTTACTAGGTACGATTAATAAGCATTCCTGATCATACATTTCAATTTCAACGTGTCCAAAGAAAGAGAGAATTGAGATATACCAAGTACGATTAATGAGCGTTCTTCCCCATACCTAGCAATTTCAACATGTCTTCATGTTAGGAATTAGAAAGTATGAGATGTGCCAAGTACGATTAATAAGCGTTCTTGCCCATACCTTGCAATTTTAACATTTCTGCAAGTTAGGAATAAGAAAGTGTCGAGCCGTCTGTCAAGTACGATTAATTATCGTTACTGATCATACCTACCAATTTCAGCATGTCTACAGCCTAGGGATAAGAAAGTATTGAGATGTGCCGGGTACGATTAATAAACGTTCCTGATCATACATTCCAGCTTCAACATATCCAAAGAAAGAAAGTATTGAGATATGCCAAGTTCGGTTATTAAGCGTTTCTGACCATACCTGCCAATTTCAACATGTCTATACCCCTACAGGCTAAGGGTAAGAAAGTATTGAGATGTGCCAAGTACGATTAAGAAGCGCTCCTGACCATACCTACTAATTTCAACATGTCTACTGGCTAGGGATAAAGAATTATTGAGATGTGCCAAGTACAATTAATAAGCGATCCTGACCATACCTACCAATTTAAAAAGGCTATAGGCTAGAGATAAGAGAGTATTGAGATGTGCCAGGCACGATTAATAAGCGTTCCTGATCATACAGTGCAACTTCAACATGTCCAAAGAAGAAGAGTATTAAGATATACCAAGTACGATAACCACTCGTTTCTAACCATACCTTCCCATTTCAATCTGCATTTCAACTTTGGATGTGACAGGTGCGATTAATAACCGTTCCTGACCATACATTGCATTTTTAACATGTCCATAGGCTAGGGATAACGAAGTATTTAGATGTATCAGGTACGATTAATAAGCGTTCCTTATCATACATTCCAACTCAACATATCCAAAGAAATAAAGTATTGAGATGTGCCAAGTACTATTAAGAAGCGCTCCGACCATACGTACTAATTTCAATACGTCTATACACGCTAGGGATAAGAAAGTATTGAGATGTGCCAGGAACGATTAATAAGCGTTCCTGATCATACATTTCAATTTCAACATGTCCACGGGCTAAGGATAGGAAAGTATTGAGATGTGCTAAGTACGATTAATAAGCTTTCGTGCCCATGCCTTGCAATTTTAACGTGTGTGCAAGTTAGGAATAAGAAAGTATTGAGATGTGCCAAGTATGATTAATAAGCGCTCCTGACCATACCTACCAATTTCAATACGTCTACATGCTAGGGATTATAAAGTATTGAGATGTGCCAGGAACGATTAATGAGCGTTTCTGACCATAAATACCAATTTCAACAGGCCGACAGGCTAGAGATTTGAAAGTATTGAGATGTGCCAGGTACGATTAATTAGGGTTCCTGGCTATACAAACCAATTTCAACATGTCTACGGGCAAGAGATAACAAAGTATTGAGATGTGCCAAGTACGATTAATAATCGTCCCTGGCCACATTTACCAGTTTCAACCTGTCTGCAGGCTATAAATAAGAAAGTATAGAGATGTGGCAGCTATGATTAATAATCGTTTTTGACAATCTCTACCTAGTCTTACGCCCCCTGAAGGCTAAGGAAAGAAAGTACTGTATTGAGATGTGCCAAGTACGATTAATTCTGATCACATTTACCAGTTTTAACCTGTCTGCAGGCTATTGATAAGAAAGTATAGAGATGTGCTACTGAGTTTACAACCATTGTTCGTCCTGTTCTAGAATATGCTGCCCCCGTCTGGCATAATATACAAGATTTTCTATCTTATAAGATTGAGAACATTCAGAAAAGGGCTATGCGCATCATTTTCCCTTTAATGAATTACAACGAGGCATTAAATGCCCTTAATTTAACAACTCTAAGTGACTGACGCGCCCATCTATGCCAGGTTTATGTTGATAGACTCCGGAATGAGAATCACCCCTTGCATTTTATGCTCCCCAAACAGGAGGAGGTTGTACACAATTATAATCTTAGATCTGGCATTAGCCGTTCCACGCGTCCTACCTTTAGGACCAAGCGCACGCAAGAGTTTATCACGCATAAGTATAACTAGTGGCTTGTACAATTATATTTTCTAGTATTTATTGGATTTATTGTATTGTACTTTAGTATTACATGTTTTGTAAATAGCTCTGTAATTCAGCCATTCTGTATATTGCTGCAATGAGTCTTAATAAACAGTCATTATTTATTATTACAGAGTACGATTAATAATCGCCCCTGACCACATTTACCAATTTCAGCCTGTCTGGAGCTATAGATAAGAAAGATGTGCCAAGTACGATTAACAATCGTTTTTGAAGGATTCGTTCCTCCGTGTAGACTGTATTTCTTTCACACACAAATTAATTTAAGTTGTCATTCATATGGCTATTTTTCCTGAACGAGTTATTGCTGAAGAAGTTTCATTTAAAAATTACACCATAAATAGCTTCATGCATATGACGTAGTACTGATGAAGAGGTTTAATTTGGATTGTCACACATGTAGGTTTTCGTCAAACGATTCCAAATTTAAAACTGCGCGAAACATAAACTATACATGTGAACGTACTACTACAAAGGTTCGATTTTGATAGTCACATCATCTAATTTTGTCAAGAGACCAATAGTTAGAACTACATGCGAAATAGCTAGTTTCATGTGAACACGCTACTGAAGAGGTTTTAATTTAAATGGTCAAACTATCGGATTTCATCGACGGACTAGTCACTGAAGTAAGATTTCGAACTAAATCAGTAAAACATAAACAAATACAGTCATGTAAACGTGCTACAGATAAAGTTTCGTTTGAACAGGCGATCACATCACAGCATCTTACAACAGAGATAAACTAGGGACTATTTTTAAAATGTCTCTATTATTGAATCTGGAAGTAAAAAGATTAACTTTAGCGCAAGTCTCAGACGATTGTAGTTTTCTTCTTTGAATTTCCGGCCGTTTCTGTAGAGTGAGCAATAGGCATCAGTTCCAAGGCTACAGCCTGCTCATTACCATGGAATTCTTCTAGTTCTATGTCGCCCTCACTCCCCGACAAGCCACCGTAAATCTCTGGTTTCAGCATCTGTTGTCTCTCCTCTGATTCTGGATCGAATTGATCTTCCATGTCATCTGGTAATGGAGGCAAGGGATTGTTTGCAATATTTTCACTTGATCGCCTATAAGAAGAAAACAACGCTGTCAACCATGGTAGATTCCTATAAAATTGACCACACATTTTAGATCATGCGCACGATTATAGAAGGCAACGTGAATCACACTAAAACATTTTACGACGAGCCGATAATTCTGTGAGACAAGATCGCAATGCTATATTTTATTATCATTATTTCAAATCTTCATGCCAACGGCAATGGACTCGAAACGTGATTTGTACGCAGTGAACGGAGTTAGATTTTCGCAATCTGAGATTTATACGCTATTACGCCTTAAATGTCAAAAATGAAAGGCGTTCACGGTGATTAAGCGTCTTCCCCTAAATATTCGCCTGCCAAACCGAAAAATAAGAGTCTCCTTGAATAACAATCACCTCCAGCTGCTCACCGTCTTAAATATATTAAGTGATGTTATAAGGGAACCTCCTCTCTTCTCTCATTCTCTGAACGCTTGTTTACCTTTGATTAAACGCCGGCATTGACGTAAGGGAACAGTTTCTTATTAGCCACTCGTTCGGCTCAATTTTAAATTTACCGTGCACAGCAAGACCATTATCTGTATCCACGAGTTAAGCAATGTTATTTCTTAGGTAACAATGTAACTGAGTCCCTTTCGTTCTTTGCCATGACCATGCACGTGTCTCATTAACGATATACTGTCTCCTCAGTACTCCTTTGAAGAACCTATTTCTTCCCCGAATAAGCGCTCCCTCAGTGGCCAAGCTAGTATATAAGCAGAACTGGCCCTACCTATCAGTTATTGAATTAACAAAACATAAGGTATTTATTGTCGAACTAATATTGGGGAGTTCTTTAGCCTGGGACTTGTTGGCTCCTTTATGGGTACGGAATACCGGGTATGGACCCAACTCGCTTGTGGCTGAACTTTTCAAGAATAAAAGCCAAATGCTTAATCGAGAGTACTAACCTGTCATAAACTTCTGCTCTCGTCACAACAACGGTGTGGTCTGAATCATGTGGATCAAGGTAGTAATCTTTTCTGCCACGGTTGCTGTCTTCTGTTAATCGAAGGTACTCGGTCGCCACACTCTGTTGGGAAAAATAAGCCCAATATCAAAGTTTAGAATAAACATACCAGCCAGGAGCCCATAACCCGGAGCGAGCAACTTCCATACTAGGCCTATGTCACGGCGTTTTTACAGATCAGTTTATTTTTAGACACATTTTAAGGGGTACTTCTTCCCGCGAAAAATAAAATCTCCACCATATCTATGAGCGCATTCGAAGAATAAGATTTCAAAACGGAAACCTAAACGTTATTAAAAGGCAGAAAATACCCTTTTCAGGTCTGTAGGTTTGGCTGACTAGTTTGTGAAATTTAAAAGATATTCAAAATTCGCGCCAAAACCGTTCTAAAACTAAACTGGTCCGTGAAAACGTCGTGACACAAGCGCATGGAATTTGCTCACTCCGGGTTATGGGCCCCTGACCACCAAAAGATGCGCATCCCTCATAATCTTTCTTTCAATTGGCAGTCGAAATTCTCTGATCTTATAGAATCGTAAATTTTTATAATCTGTATAGCTTTAGCATCTGCATTGCGTCAGTCTGAAAAAAAAAAACAGCATGCAGATCGTGTTATCATCATTCCATGGCCAATCTACGGGAGGGGCCAAAAAGGCTGAGGGGTCCGGGGCTCCACCTTCTTTAATTTATAGGCCAAACTGCAGTCTACGAGACTAATGAGCGGGTCCCACACTTAGTTAGAGATTTGAATCCGCCAATGTCATTGCAAATATGGTAATTTTTTAAAGAGCACACAGTATAAGTCATCTCTTCATATTCTTCCTGCAAAGCTTAATTCCCGCTCGCCCCATCAGAACAAAGGATATATGCACTCAAGAGAGTATCCCCTTTTGATAAACTTCATTTTTTCCTTTGAAGGACCTAGTGTACAAAAGTTCTGACAAGAGAGAGGATAAGTTCTCTTAGTTCCTCCTTTGCCTCAAAAACAGTAGAAAAAAGGCCTCACCTGGGAAGCGCGTTGCTCAAGTATTGTACCAATCGACTGGCTGATTTGATCAAATTCAGGTCGCTTGTCGGGTCCTTCCTGCCAGCAATCTTGCATAATTTTGTAGATCTCCGAAGGGCAGTCTCGGGGATTTTCCATACGGTTTCCATCATTGAGAAAGTCTAGGAGCTCTTCTGCGGGTATAGTGGGATACGGTGTGCCGCCCAGTGTAAAGATCTCCCACAAGCAAATACCAAACGACCATCTGCATTATTAAATTTCAAGGTTCAAAACATACACACTCGAAGGGTCATCACAGCCTGGGTCATTCCAAACCAAAAGGGTGTCAATAAAGCTCTGTAAGCTGTTTAAGCTAAACTATGGGCTCGAGGAAACAGATGGTAAGCTGCTATTAACTCCACTACAAGTGAATTATTGGAATCAAAACTTACATGGCTTGCATATGAAGCGCTACATTCAAGAATCGTTATCAGTAGTATTCTTTTTCTTTCGAGTACTATTTATAAAAAATGGAAGACGTTATCTGCTGTATTTACATGCCCTGATATAAACACGAGATTCGGGTGTTGGGAGAATTTAAGAGAATTCGCACAAATTGCAAACCACAGAAAAACAGTTTTCTGCTAAGGTGCTTTTATAGCGGCAACTTTCCCGAGAAAAAGTTGCTACCTAGCTTTTTGTTTATGGCGCTGATGAAAAGAGCAGTTCTTACTAGTCGCGAAGTGTTGTATCTATACGAAGTTTTGTACGTGTAATCAGTACGTTTTTGTTTTGGATTTATAATAAAGTTCAGATATAACGTGCGCTCCGATTTGTTGCAAAAGCGTGCTTTATTAGAGTATAAAACATGCTGACGACACTCTTTTGCTTTAAAAAAATAATAAAGATTGTTTTGAAAATTAGAAAGGAATGTGTGGGGAATTTAAAGGATTCTTTATATTCATAAAACAAATAAAGAAGTCTTGACTGAGCTCCATTGTGTTGTACTACTCAAGAAGTGGAGAGAAACACTCGACTACATCTCGTGTTCCCCCCTACACTTCTTTCGTGTTCTAGCCGCTGCTAGTCGTGCGTGCTTTACAACGTACAGAACAGAGCACAGTCAAGGCTTCTTGTTAAAAAAGGTGATATTTTAAAGGACGGATTGTTCTCCCTTAAAATGTCGTCTTCAGCGTAAAAACTTTGATATAGCATGTTTTTAAAGATTTTTCAAGTTCCATGCGTCTAAGTTATGGATTAATAAAGTAAACTTGTCGAGTTTTTTCAAAAGATGGTTGCGTGGTTGCGTTTAACTGTTACTCGCATGCAAACATACTTCTCAACCAATCGGAGAGCGCCTACTTAACTATGTTATGGCAAGTTTAACTTAATTGCAGTAATCAAAAGGCCAGCTTCTTTTTAATTTGAATCCCTAGTTACGCACTAATTATATAGTTGTCATCCTTGAGTACAATCCCCGCATATTTTCATATTCTCCCGGAAGGGATTTGCCGTATGACCCCCCCCTCCCCTCTGGAATTTCCAAAATTTTCGCACACCCCTGGAAATTTTGCTATCTCTAATTGAAGTGAACAAAGAAGTAGTTTTGTTCCCTAGGATGCCAAATTTTGTGAGTTTTGTTCATTTTCTGTTGAATTGTATAACAGAGAAGCGAATTCCTTATACGAACTCCTTATGCGCTCAAGTCACAGACAGATTTTGTGCGTTTCTTGTAATTTCTATTGAATTCTCCAATTCTGCAAATGAAATGCAAGGTCGCGTAGGAAACATAACTGTACTTTTCTCGCACTGCGTCAAGAAGAAAGCAGCACTTGAAGAAGTATACCGCATTTATTCGATTAACCGCCCTGGGCGCTTATTAAATTTTTGGACCTTGAGGGTGGGCGCTTATTCGAGGTGGGCGCTTATTCGAGCCTGGGCGCTTATTAAATTTTCACCATTTTCAGCAAGAGAAGTATGTTTATTTTGCAACAAAACAAGAAATGCTAATAACAAAACGCGAGGAAGGAACAAAGCAAGATTTCTGTAAAATGCTTTGAAGAAAACTCCGTCCTCGGGGAAGTCTCTTATTAGAATTTATTCACTCAAGAGGATGGGGTGGGGGTGAGCGCTTATTTGAGTTTGATTGGGAGGAGGAGGGGGTGGGCGCTTATTCGAGGCTGGGCGCTTATTAACTTTTTCTGCCTTTAGTATGGGCGCTTATTCGAGGTGGGCGCTAATTCGAGGTTGGGCGCTTATTCGAATAAATACGGCAATTAAAGAGATCAGGACCTCGTGGCGCGACAAGACAGTGTGAGTATCGAATTTCGTTCTATGAAATTTGCATATTTGAGTTTGCGGTAAAATTGCGCGCCGCCGATGTCATTGATAAGAAAATTGTCACGCAAAGTTTAACGTGCTGGAAAAGACTCGTGTAACTTCTTTGTGATAGAGAAACAGTCAAGAGAAGAAGAAATGCAACCAATTGAAAAAAATTATTTTTCGTGTTTGGTGTTTTCGACATGGAAGGAAAATGAAGTTTCGTTCCGCTGGCTCATAAACTACAAAAGCGCAAAAGATAAAAAATATTATTTTCGGAAAACTTGTTGAAAAAAAAAACTTAAGTATTCAATAAAACGTATGTCGATACTGTCGATAATCGATTGATAATATGAAAGTCAAGATGGCTACGAAGGAGGAGAGATCCGTAACTATTTCATATATGATGCGTTTGTAAACAAACTTCGTAACCTACGTGACCTGGAGAATAACAGATCGTTCGACGCGAGTGGCTAGCGACGAAATGGTTTTGGGATGGAAACTCGGCTAAAATTTATCTTTGAACAGATAGCTTCAGTCGCTCGAACGGTTGACAAATTCTTTTTCGAGCAGATAGCCCGAGCCGTTCGAACGGATAACAATTATTTCAAACGGATATTCCAAGCCGTTCGAAAGGATGACAATTTTTTTCAAACGGATAGCCCAAGCCGTTCGAACGGATGACAATTTTTCCCGAACAGATAGCCAAAGCCGTTCGAACGGGTGACAGTTGTTTTTGAACGGATACCCCAAACCGTTCAAACGGATACCAAATGCGTTCGAAAACGGCAAACCGTAAGGAACGTTTTCTCGTGAGAGGTCACGCCAAGGGACTGACAAAATATGTTCGCTATGTCCATTAATCCATAGGTTTAGTAGCTCTTTAACTTTCGTCGTGTTTTATATCTTCACAAATAAATTGTCCTGGTAAATTTTTGTGTTTTTTCTTTGTTACTCTATTACGGGTCACGAGAACCCTCAGGAAATATTTCCCTACGGTGACCCCCCCGCTCCCCACTGGAAAATTAGGCAAATTGACCCCCCCCTCCCCTCTGGAAAATCCGATCCCTTCTGTGGGGAGTACGGATATTTTCTGGAACCGCACAATGTCATTTGTACTTACACATCACTTTTCTCTGAGTACTCCCTCAAAAACAATGATTCTATCGCCATCCACTTCATTGGCAAAACACCACTGTTTGTCTTCTCATATAAGTCACTCTTGTAAATATTTCGAGGGCAACCAAAGTCAGCGATCTTCATGACGTAGTCTTTTCCAACAAGAACGTTTCTGGCCGCCAAGTCTCGGTGAACACACTAGATAAAACAGATATGTTTAAAAAAAGAAATGCAAAATCAAGACATCAGAAACAAGAAGGAGATAATAATAATAATAATAATAAGTCCGCTAATTTTAGAAAGTCGATAATGGGGTGAGCTTGTAAATTATTGTTTTATGATCTTAGTTTTAATATTTTTATTTCAACAAAATTTTAGTCTATGATAGTGGAATGTAATTTGGTCATATGTTAATAAAGATTTTTTGCTATTTTTTAATAATAATAATAATAATAATAATAATAATAATAATAATAACCACGGTAAAAACAGGAAAAAAATTTTTTATACCAACAGAGAAGTGCACACGCTACAGAAAGTAAAAGTAAATAAAGACTAAACATTGTTAAACAATGCTCTTCTTTACTTACTCTCGAACGCGGAATTGTCCGTGAGGAACCAACGCTACAGACACTTACGTCTCCGCTTCTTTCGCTCCCGGTTCATGGCTGATTTAATGTCACAGCTGTTGCGCACGCTTCTGAGTTCCCGTAACCTTTTCGCCTACATGTTGCTTTTTCTAATCCTTTGCGCGAGCTTTTGGCTACTGACGTCTCCCTCTCTGAGTTACTTTACTTTTTACCACTTATTACTCATAATAAACTCTTACAGTGCGAATACTCGAAGCTGGGCGTTTGGAAATAGATTATCAAACACAAATCATAATAATCATGGCGGTTTTTGAAAACAAAAGATATTCTCATTAAATTGGAGGGCTAATTCCTAAGAGGTCAGGTAAGCTCAAACGGTTTTTAAGTTATCAACAGTTTCATGGTTGCACATTGAATTGTTTTGGTCCGTTTACATTAACAGAGAATCTCTTGTTTTTTTAAAAAAAACGGTAAGTTCAAACGATTTGATTGGATAATAATCTTTCAAGCGCCCCGGTTCAAGTAGTCATACTCTGTTAAACGCGAAAAACAAACAAATAGGCGCAGATTTAGCCGGTCGAATGAACGATTTAAATCATGACAAAACTCCTTGAAGCCAAACGGAGAAAATAAGCAAGTGCTGGAGAATAGGTCTTTTTAGCCTGTATGTTTTGTCTTCCCTTTTTCAGACCACGTGATGGTACCCCAGAGAACCGTTCCTTTCCAAAGTTGTGCTTTGCTCGTGCATCCACGAGCATATATGTATGCATATTTTATGAAAAGACCAAATGCAAATTGCCTTGAGAACATCACTTGGTGTGAAATGGGAAAATAAAACATAAGCCAAAAAGGTCAACAGCTCTTGTTAGAACTGAATTTTCTTCAGAAATGTGGGAATCCTTGAACGGGACAACATTACTACATAACCTTTTTTAGATGCCAGGTATTCCATTCCACGGGATATTTGGTAACAGTAGTTTACAAGACTTGATATATTCAATCCTATCTCTGGGTCACTGGCAGTCGCAGTCAGGTTGCTTCATAAACATCTCGCTTGCCTCGTAAGAACTTTTGTAAACTCCCATGTGGTGCATATTCCAGAATGACAAGGATACGATCTCGCTTGATACAAGCACCAAGGAGGTTTACAATGTTTTTGTGTTCTCCAACGTAAATTAGAATTTTCAGCTCTGATACCAGGTCTCTAACTTCCTCTTCAGTAGCTCCCCTGAAGTGCCAAAACATCGTACTCGGTCAGTTAAAAAAGTGCAGTTTCCACAGGTTCTAGTGGAGTCCATGTGACCATGTCACAAGCAACAATCAGTTTAACTGGGCACAAACCTCAGCGATAGGAATGAGCACGAACGGTACTCATGTAAGAGAGAGGCCCTATGTGAATTGTCCACCTCACCCATGCTGAATCCAGGGGCATGGCTGGAGTTTTTTTTCCACTGGTAGGCACAGATTCCCAAATCAACCCTACCCGTCTCCCAAATAATTACCGCGCAGGTAACCTGGTAACTCGTACCCTCCCCTGCATATTATCAGCTCCTACAGTAACTATAAACCAAATTCCTTTTTTGTCCCCCTCCACCATGGTAAATGTTACACAAGTTGAAATACAAATCTCTTGACTTGAAACATTACCTTTAACAGTCTTTACAGCTACGGTGGTTTTCGTGTACGCCCTGCCTCTGGGATCGTGGTACGCATGGCCGGCCCTGTGTTGACGAAACATTTTAGGTCGCCGCTGACTTTTCTTTTGACTTTTGTCTCTGGGACTAAAGTTGTTTATTCCTATAGCCTCTGCTTTAATGACTTGTCCGAAGGCCCCTGATCCTAGCAACTCGCCAAGAATGAGCTTGTCCTCAGGAAACTCGAAATCAGGGTCATAAGGCAGATCATTACATTGTTCAAGCAGTGTACGATTAGGGTCAATCTAAAACAATCAAGAAATATTTTATTACTTATCGTATACAATAGGGACCTATTTAGTCTAAGCAATGGTAAATTCATTCCCTCCAACTGGAAACTGTTTGGTTCATGAGTATTACCTGAATTTAGAGGGCCATTTCAGGGCTATGGATCACTTTTTGAATCGAGTCAAAGAATAAACAAAAGCCAGTTTAGGTTTGAAAAGTACAGTTTCCGAGTCGAAATGCGAATCTCACCTGGGTAACCTAATGAAAAAAAAAACACTTCCTTTGAGGTAAGCAGCGCGTACAACGATTTCAGTTCAATATCCAGTTAAAATAAGATTACTACTAGTGAAAAGGAATTCTGGAAAATAAAAGGAATTCATCTAGGGTCTATTGTCGGTCCATTGAACGTTGGATACAGGTTTTCGATTCTAGTTTGCGAAGTCCTAAACGAAAGACCCCGACAAATTCTCCTTAAGCAAAAGACGTTAGTGAATCAACTAATGCATTTGACGAATCATAAATTCAGTTGTAAACAAGTTAAGCTAAGAAAGCGGCTACTTCAAAAGTGTTCGGTTGTCATTTCTCTTTGCATTGTTTTGTCAATCTATTTAACGTTTGCAAACTTCACTAAAATCTCCACCATGGCATTGCCACTTTGTGACATTTCGATCGGAGAAGAAAAACTCAGTTTTGAGAAAATAAAAGATCTCTGCTCATATGTTTCCACTTAATAGTTTCGCTAATTAAGACGGAAAACTGATCATTCATTTGGCTGCGGTGAAGCTTAAGTTAGGAAGGTAAAGAAAATAACTTTAAAGTGAACTTTTAGTGAATCGCTGAAAATAAAAATTAAAATAAAAATAGAATTGCAGTTGGATCGACCTACTCCATCTGGGAGATTCCAGAAAATCTAAGATGAAGTATCACAAGACTTGGTTTGAGACGGACAGCCATAACTGTGGTCATTGCCGCATTGTGCGAACCTAAAGTGATTTGTCCTCTACTATGAGGTACGTTCTGCAGGAAAATTCTCAAATTAAGATTCAGGTGTTTCGAGCGTCGTTCTGTAGAACAAGACTATACTAGTCTGTAAGACTCAAATCTTATGTATCTACACTCATCTCACTAACCTTAAAACCACCTAATTCATTTAAACTGATCAACGAAAACTATTAGTACAGTCCAACCTGTATGTGCGACCACATTTCGTAAGCGACCAGCTCCCATAAGTGACCACTTATCCGAAAAACACTAAAATTTCCCATTCAAAGCCTTTTAGTTGGAACTTTTCGTAAGCGAACGCAATCAGTTTTTAGCATGACAGTTTTAGAATTTTCCACTGTTTTTAACCTGTTAAAGCAACTGCTACCTGGTACAATGGGGGAAATATCTATTCCTCATAAGCTTTGCTTCTCGGAGATTTCCCCGCCACAGTCACTCCCTCCAAGTTGTATGCTCATTTTAAATTTAATGTTAATTAACTGTCTATTATCTTTCTATTCTACTTGTAATTTATTCTGTGTGGCAAAATAATAAAATAAAATAAAAACAACAATGGTCTTGCTTTCCCTGTATGTACTACGCTACTCAGAATATGAGCAGAAGTTTTAGAGAAAAAAATAACATGGATTTACACATAACGTAACCTAAAAATGAAGTGCAATACATTCTTTCAAAAAATTAGATGTATCCGAACTTCTCAGTCCTGTCAAAAGACCTCCTTTGACTCTCATAACTGACCACATTATGGAAGCGACCACTTATTCTTCGCATTTTAGGGGGTCACTTACGGGAGGTTCAATTGTGTAGGTTAAATTAGAGTTAGTTAAGACCCCTTACCATTATCAATCAATTATTCTGTTAAACATCTTGTACAACTTGGATAAGTTGTAACTTAGAACCAAAGTTGCTGTCAGTAAGAGGAAATATCGCTACTCATAACATTTACTGCCTCAAACGAGAGAATGATTTCAATCCTAATTCATGATTCTTATACCTTACTTTACCTAATGTTGGATAATTTTTTTATCCTTCTTTAAGGACAAAGAAGAGGTAGTGGAACTTCATTTTTAACCCGTAAGACACGTTGATATACTTAGGATCGGTTATTTAAACGGAGTCTAATTGAGGCCGAGGTTTAGTAAAGCTTTGGACCTCCAAGCAGATATCTTCCATAGTGGGTTATTTCAGGTAAGAAGAAAATAAGTGCTTTTCCACTGCACACCTCATGCTTTCATGAAACTTTTCACGATAAATAGTGTTAAGATAAAAGCGTTGGGCAAACTGAAAATTGATGAGAACACGGTTTTGTTAAACACTGGCTAACTCCGCTCAAATAACTGGTCTTAATTAGAGTTTGGTGTCGTAAGTTTCTCTTGGAGGCTCATGAATAACCACCTTTACAATTGTCTGAACGCCCTGTTCAATGGTTTTCTCGTCAGTTGTTGCCTCCTCTTGTTCTCGTTCTGTATGATCTTCAAGAGCAATATTAACTGCCCCACTCTCCCTTAAAGTACTAGCACAAATCACCTTTGTAATTGTCGAAACGCCCCGTGCAATGGTTTTCTCGTCAGTTGTTGCCTCCTCTTGTTCTCGTTCTGCATGTTCTTCAAGAGTAACATCAACTGCCCCACTCTCCTTAAAGTACTACCAATCGTTGGCATGTCGATGTTACCAGTTTGCAGTTGCTGCTTCATTATGTTCGTCTCAGTAAATCCGCGTATCTCTCCTTGTAGTTGATTAAGTGGCAACAGCAAGGCCAGGCAGCAGGATAATGAACACTTTGGGTTCTTGCGCCATTCTTTTACAAAGTGGTAAATATACGCCAGATATTGCACTGAAACAAATAAAAACTTGTTCAAATTAAAACTTGGCCTTTAATTTATATTAACCTTTGATCACAGAGGAAAGACCTGAAGGCGGTAACTTGCACGAGAACAGTACAATGGTGATAATGGGTACTGAATTTGGCTAAAATCGTATGTTTTGCTAAGTGAGTCAAAGGGTCTAAGTGTGTTTCCTCAGATTTTCTAAACGAAAAGGTGTTGCTGATTCTGACCTGTATTATTTTAAGGATAAAGGCTCAATTAAAATAAGTGGTAAATTGCTTTGGGTGGCACTCTTTTATCCGGAGCAATCGGTTGAATTTTGACAAAATTTGCATATTTCAGAGGCATCTCAGGTCCTCATGTGGCGCCGAAAGAAAATTCGTTAAAAAAATTTACAGAAGCGAATTTCTCCAATCTAGTTTCATATTTGTTATATACTTATTAAAATAAGTCTACAAAAAAATTATGAGCGAAATCCATTTTGTTGCCAAAACTCGATATGAGGACCTTACAGAGACTGGCTTTTAAGGCTAAAGTTCACACTACGGTCAGTATAAAACACGGACTACAGACTGCGGACTGGGTATAAAAACTGGACTAGGTATAAAACGTGGACTGCGGACTGTGGACTACGTTGGTAAAAAAAGGTGCTTATTGATTCTAGGTAAGGAAAAATAAGATCAAAAGATCCCTAAATAAAAAAGACACGTAAGTTTAAGTTATAAATACACCTAGAAATTCTGGGTGGAGGTGTGCCGCTCGGTTCTCTGAATCATGAGACTGACCAAAATTCTATTTTCTTCACCCATTTTTAGACCTGGTACTGGTCTCTAACAATCATGAGAGGGGTTAGGACCGGCGGGGGGCGGGGGAGAGTACTCCCTTATATAAGCCATATAGGTATGTGCCGCCCCAAAGGGGAGGATTTTAGGCCTTTTTGGTCTAAAAACACTTTGCTCATTTTGGTCTGGATTCGAGGGAACTACGGGAGCGTACATGTATTTATCGTTTCAATTCCAAATGAATAAGAACGAATCGAAATAAAAATATGCGAATTCGAAATGCATTCTAATCTAGTTATGATGGCATAATTTCTGCCTAATTAGGCCTAGCCTAATAGTTCGAGATAGTTGGATCCGCTGAATTGAGAAAGCGCGAACACGAAAAAGAAAAACAACAAAACAAAAACGGGAAGAAACTTGGGAGTCAGTTCCTCCACTATCTGAGAGCCTGGTACAGCCTAAATTAGGCCAGGTCTGAAAACAGGTGTGGATTTTAGAGATCTGGTCTGAAAACGAGTGTGGAAAATGACATTTTTTGGTTTGAAATAGGGTCAGGATTTGAAGAACTGGGCAGCACATCCCAACCAAGAATTATCATAGTACCCCCTCCGGAGGTCAGGAGCAGGGTGTAAATCATGTCATCATAATATTAATCATCGCGTAGAATATAATGATGGATGATTCATTTCGGTTATTATTAACGTACATAGGTGAGTAATCCCTCCCCCCTAAATACTCCTTTTTTACATCGCAGAATTTCCCTATATTGACCTTCTCGTATGAGTTCTTCATTTTCACATATTCCCAAGGCTTTATTTGAAACCGAATAGTAGCATCTATAAGAATTTTACTCTGGCTAACACCGATACTTTTTTTTAAACGGTGCTTCTTATTAGTTTAACTGACTTGAATTTTCTTGTAACTCCTCCTTTTTATAAAATTCAGAGTTTAATTTCAGTTGCCTTGAGTAGCGGCATAACCTTCCTTCTCCGTGCATTATGCTTTCCTTCCCCTCATGACGCTGACGTTGGGGAGAATAGACTGCATGATCATGACCAGCTAAAGGAATGTTTTGTGTGTGGGGAAGGAGCTGGGACTACTGTTTTATGCCAGTTCGCTTTCCGTTTCTCTCAGTTTTACCGTTCTAAAGCTGTTTTTATATACATAGTCCGTAGTCCGCGTTTTACACTTAGTCCGTGTTTTTTATACTCAGTCCGGAGTCCTCATTTTATACCTAGTCCGTGTTTTAAACCCAGTCCGTAGTCCGTGGTCCACAGTCCACAGTTCTTGTTTTATACTGACCAGTTCACACTGCACTGGATAGCTTTACGTGCAGACACAAAAAGCTATCCGGCAAAGTATGAACACCTATCCGGTATGTGACTCTTCTGTTTAGTGATCGGCGCGTCGCAGCTTTGCTTTTTCGGGCCGAAATCACCCTTCTTTGCGTGACCAGTAGTCCTATCCGGTATGCTTTCTTTTTGTGCCGGCACAAAAGCTCTCCGGTATAGAGTGAATAAAGACAATCCATAGCTTAAGATAGCGATACCCTTAGACACGTTCTTTCCCTGTTAAAATCCAAATACTGATCATTTTGTTTATCACAACTTTGGTTGTCAACTCCCAGACTGGGTGATTTTATTAAACGCTATCAGGACCGTTATCAGTGCCATAACCTGCCGATAGAAGCCGAACTTGGAGTTGTTGAAGAATTTAGCACAAGGCTGCAGCTGCAATTCTGTAGAACAAACTCTAACGTAAGCACGCAGTCACAGTCTGGGGACCTTTGGCATTAAGGTCATTTCCCAACCCTTCTCTTAGAATCATAGTAGTGGTGGTGTTACGAGGCAGCTCTTTAAAACTTCGTTATATTTTGCAAGCTATGACGTAAATACCGTATTTCCTCGAACAAGCGCCCCAGCTCGGCTAAAAGGAGAGGTGCTTATAGGAAGGAGGGCGCTTAATAATGGAGGCGCTTATTAACTTTTTTTTTTCAACCAACGGTATTTCTATTTTGGCTAAATGCATCTTAACGCGTTTGCTGGTCTGTCCGGTGCGTTCATTTTAACTTTTTTTGATTTAACCTGTTACATATCTGTGTACCGTATTTTCTCGGTAAGGTCCCACGCTCTAATAAGCGCCCGTCCCCGAATAACCGCTCACCCCGTTGGCCATAATATCAAACAAACGCCGCTATCGAATAAGTCCCCTCTCTCCTCCTCATAACTTTCTTAAATAGTAGGAACACAGGTGGCCCAAACGTAATATGAGAGTTTGTATGGGAAAAAAAATGAATGAAGTAAAAGCGAGAAAATTTGTCAATAAAGTGTAAATATTGTTACCTGGAGTCGTTGTCTTTGTTTTTATGAAGTTTCAGCGCGATTTGAGCACTTTTACATCATTATTACACTGCCTGTTCATTTATTTCATCTAAGTTTCAAACTCTTTTTTTCCCATACAAACTCTCATATTACGTTTGGGAGACCTGTGGTACGAATACATGAGGAATGGGATGATCTGCTTAATGTTGATAAGGATAATCTCGAAGATAAAGAGCGAAGTGATTGCGCGTATTAAATAGCGAGCGCACCGCGAAAGATCGTGACGTCGTTACTACAAACCCTCTTGCAAACACAACTCTTGGTCAATCAGAGCGCGCGTATTATCTGAGAAAATTAGGCTGATTTAGCAACGGAACGGGAACGTCAGTTTACGACGTCGCGCTCAAATCTAACAACTAGCTTGACCAATGACAGAGCGGCAAATTTGGAACGAAAGTCGCGTTTAGTCCTTTCCACGCGCTTTCCCGTCAACTGACGTTCCTGTTCTGTTGCTAAATTAGCCCATGCAAAAGTCGGGTTTGCATGAGCTGTCACCTCACGATCTTTTGCAGTGCGCGCTATTCACGCAATCACTATTCATTTGTGTAAAGTGTATAATGGGACTACGGTACTCTTGACTATAACAACCAATGTTTTAACGAATAAAAGGCACATGTCTCAAAGCATCTGTACAGAAAACCTTGATAACCTTTTTATTCAAAACAAGAACTGATTACGCTAACCAAAATTCGTGTACAACAGTTCGTAACTAT